AGTGAGAACATGTGACATCTCTCACACCCCTCTTACTTAGGGACTGTTATTTCTCACTGTCACAGCTCCCACTGCTTCATGTCCCAGGAGTTGTTTTTTCCATTCCGTACTCCACTTCAGAGACTGCAAATGCCTTGGTGAGACAAAGTGCCTCCTCAGAGTTCTGTGGCATATGATGCCGCACCCAGCATTGAGTCCCTTTTTCCAGGTCCGCTAGAAACAGCTCCAGCGGAACTTGGTTAGCCAGAGCATCCTGGATATATGTTGCTGGCCATAACCACTTGCTCATCAAGTCTCACAACAGTGGCATCAGGATTCTGGGGTGTTGGTCCTTGCAAGGCTTCTTAGCCTGAAATAGGCATTGATAATGCTCTGGCATGATGTCTAGTCAGTACAAAATTGCCACCTTGACTTTTGTGCAATCTTGGGCTTCCTCTCTCAGTAGTGCCCTGTAGGCAGCCTGGGCCTTGCCAATCACAAGCATCCCAAGTTGGCTTGCCCAATATATATGGTCAAGACCTGCCTGTATGGCTGTTCTCTCAAAAACTTCTATGTAAGCCTTGGAATCATTGTCCCTTGTCATCTGCATCTTGGAGAAGAGGTTTTGATGGAGCCACCTAGCAAACTGCTGCTGCTGGACTTCCAGGACCTGGCTCATTGTTTGCAAGGTCTGCCCAAGCAACTTGTGGTGTGTAGTCATGATGGTCTGCATGATGCCAGGACTTGTGAGGGCTGGGTCAAGAGTTTGCCTCGCTCAAGCGATGTAGTTCCCAGCCAATGCACCACTTTGTGTCCCAGTAGGGTCTGATGGGTACCTGAAATTTCAATACCTGAGGTAGATCTTCTCCTACTCACCCACCATGGCTTTCTGGTTTTAAGAACTAAGTGGGAGGTTCCTCCAGAGGTGAAATGTTCTTTTCTCTTGGGCTAATTGGGTGCAGTAGTCAGTGACTTTGGGGCTCAGCCTACACTCCATCCACTCACAACTGCAATGCAGCCATAGCAGCAGGCCCCATTTGGCTGTGCCCAGTATTGACCTGCCTTATTAATGCCCCCTATGGGGTGAAAGTGGCTTGTTCCCCAAGCTGGGGTAATGTCCAGTAACACCAGCCAAGCTAGGCTGCTGTGGCCATACCCCTTTAAAGGCGAAGATCCATTATCACTGACTCTCCTCACTGGGTCTCTCTGGGTCCTGCTGTGGTACTCTCTCCAGGGTCAACCCTGCCTCAATGTCTGCTGGAATCTTCAAAGAAAATAGAGATCAGAACTCAAAAATACCCTGGTGTTTTGCGTCTTGACACTCAGGGCTTGGGACTTACATGCCCATTGTTTTGGGGTGTGGGCTCACTCTTGGGGGGTGGGTCCCAACAATCATCTCTGGGTGGTACACGGCCTGCTCCCTGTCCTCCCCAATGCTGATCAGTGCAAACTCTCCCAGCACCTCCGGCAGCTCCTGTTGGGTCCGCAGAGACTCTTCCTGCCACCTGTGCTGCCTTTGATTAAATGCGAGTGTCCAGGGCTTGCCGGTGCCCCAGATGCCTTTTTTATGACTACATGGAAAGCACACTCTCCCACACACAGGGAGAGTGTACTTTTAAAACATGCTGGAGACATCACACATGTCTCAGAATCTTTCAAGTGAGCTGCTGCAGGAGAGGTAAGCAGCCTTTCAGCCCATGCCAGGCTAAACTCCCCCTTCGCTCAGGGTTTGTCGGGGGTGAAACCCCCTTGCTCTTGGAACCTCTGGGAGCCAAGTCACCCAGCACAGCATCACAGTTCTACAGGCAACAAAGCTTTTGTACTCATTCATAACTGTCTCCATTGTCTCAGGTCAGAGCAGCACAGCCCCCAGCTCATGCCTAAATCCTATTGAGATTTTCAAATGAAGTGCCCTCCCCTGTCTAGTTCCCATGAAAGACTTGATCTAGGAGGTATGTTTGGAGCATTCTTAGCGCACAGTTGTAGTATCTGGGCCCACAAATAAACCCCCAGCAGCTACAACTTTCAATCAAAAACAATGTCAAAGAATAGAGTGGTATTACCCTCTTTTTAACACTTGTCTAATGGCTGTGGAAGAGTTCAGATATATGCATTTTCCTTTTCAAGGGGACTCAGGGAATGTCTATACATGATGCTACATTGCTGTAGCAATGTGTTATGGTGACGTAACATCTGTAGGCAAAACCCATGACACCGAATGTACTCGTCATAGCAATGCACTCCCCTGTTATAACACATCGCTACAGCTACATAATGCCTAAAAATAACCTTGCATAGCGCACACAGTGCGGTATGGGCTTTTAATGCATTGTCTTTTAATACTTCCAAAAGTAAATGCTAAAAAATGGCCCAGTAACAATGGTGCCATAGCAACATGTGTAGATACACCCTCAGGCACATACCTCCCAAGGAAACGCATTAGCCACCAGTCTCCAACACTTTCCTAGGGTATGGGCTCTCCCAACCCTTCCTCCAGAGGCTGTGCCACTCTATAGAAAATAATTCATTGGGCAAGAGAGAAGGGGAAACTGAGTCTGTCTTACCACCTTAATGGTTAGAGGCCCCCGCCTGGAAGGGGGTAGACTGTTTGTAGTCCCAGGATGTATTACCAATGACTGATTGTTTGAAGGAAGCCATTTATCATCCTGACTGATATCTCTATTGCTTTATTAATCAAGTGAGTAGAGAAACTACACTGGACTTTTGTGTGACTTCCATGAGGTTGTAGATCAAGGAAATGAAAAACCCATTTATATAAGTGTTTCCAACATTTCAAAACTGTTCTACAGATCCCTGGTCTATGCTATTTGGTTATATATATTTATTGCTACAGCAAGTCAAATACGCCTACTCCCCAGATATTTATCAGTATACCAAACCTGATAAGCAAATGATAAACCATAGAGGTGATTTCCTTTAAATGTTTAAGCTTTCTAATAGGTAACGAGACATACACAAGGTGCCTACAGATGTACTTATTCACATTCTAATTAGAATGTATGAAAGCAGACTCAATTAATGGAGTCTTCTCCACGTTCTAATTAGAACTCTCCAGCATCACTTTGCCATCATGTGTACTAATCCCCTATGCATTTCAAAATGGATGTGGGGGCATTTGATCTAAACCTTGTTGAATGAGCTTTAGGTAATGCATCTTATGGCCATTTTTAAATGTGCAGGGACGTAATACACATAACGATGAGCTGTTTTAATTAGAGCAGTTGTCTGGGATCTGCTCTAATTAAAACACTCCCCTCCACCTCACCACATGTATAGGTGGCCATAAACACTACAGCAACAAATATTGACTCTTAAATGACATTATTTCTGGCCTTTGGTTATTTGCAAATTACAGCTACAATCAGAATGCTTACTGGAGATAAGGACACTGCCATATAAACATCATGATTACTTTTTAATTATTATTTTATTTTTATCAGAATAGATTTTAGGCACAATCCTAAAGACTGCAAGGCAAGTTGGTAGAGGTATTAAGCATCTTCAAGTCTTTTTGACTTCAGTAGAAGATGAAGGTATTTAGCTCTTGAGGGTCATGTTATGAATAAACAAATGCAATAAATGATACTTCTTTGACCTTAGAATATTTTTCAATGAGGTATTTTCAACACTGAAATAAAAAGGTCTATATTTAAATGTAAAACCTGCATGACGTGATTTCACTTTGTATAAATAAAATTCTAAGAACTAGGTATAATTGTATGTATTGGTCTTTTAAATCCAAGTAAGAGTATGCAGATGCCCTTTACTATATATAGTGTAACACTGTTTCTTTTTCCTTTTCAAACCATCTAAAGATCCATTTAATCTCTGCTTCACAATTATTCTGCTAGCTTTCCTTTAAAACATAACAGAAGTCAATAGCTTTATATTCTGGCAAAAAGACCAACATTTATACAAAGGAATATTTTTATCTAACCATAAAATGCTGCCAGAAACCCAACAGGGACTCAACACCATGTTGGAACAAAAATAGTCCAGAGATACACTTTCAAAGCTGAGCACCTGCTGTAAAATAACCATCTGTGTTTAACTGTAATTTAATTATAGGTTCATTCCTTTTGTGTACACTGGAAGGATCTCATAGGTCTTCCCCAGTTGGTCTGCAATCAACTTTTGGCATTTTGCAAAAGCAACAGACATGTTCTCTTAACACCTGCTAACTTTGTCTCATTCCATTTTCAGTAAAGGGCTTCTGGGATTTTACAATGGTGTTGATAGGCAAAATAAAATATTATTAAATCTGGAATCAAAAGCTGCATTAATTAATCACCTGCCTTACAAAGTCAATGTCCTTGGTTAACATAGTTATCACTTTTACACTCTGAAAATGTAATCCAAGAACCACAAAGCTGAAGTATTTTTGATTTTATATTTTGGGAACCAGTATTCTCTGAAATCCTGTAACCCATCATCGCAAAGCAAAGATAAATACACTCATTAAGAACATTAAAAAATTCTGCACAATAGGTCAAAACAAAATAAAATCCACAGACATTAATATATATTAAAATTAAAGGCCTCCTAAAATTGATTTTCAATTTAGAAAAACAATATTTTAAAAAGAAAACTAAGAACACTAATTTTCAGTAGGTAGAGGAAATGACTAACTTCTGATTCTGGTGTGGTAACTATGCGATTAAGGCTGAGTCACACAATGCACACTTTCAAATAAGAACATCTCAAGTGAAGCAACTAAATTAAAAAGTAGCCTCATTTCAGGAAAAAAAAACCAAACAGCTCTCTCTGCATTGCCCTGCAAATGTAAACTCTACAAACATATCATTCAGACAATTTCCATTAAGTGAAAGAAGTAATAATGAATCCTTATTATTTTTGTAGTAGCAGGCTAGCATGCAGGAGACAATTCCCAGCTGCATGGAGCTTAGGATCACAGAGCAGCTTGGCAGCACTGGCTTTGGGCAATGTCCTGTACCTGAGTGGCAGCAGTGCCTTGATCTCTTTCCTTGCTTTTCTTGTAGGCAGTGGAAGAGGCTGGGATGAACTTGCTGGATCAATCCATCATCAAGAGAGATAAGGAAGCATCTGCTCATGCAGGAGCCTGGGATCCTGCTCCAGTCTCTGGGACCAGCTCTTGGCAAGTGCTGTCCTCTGCACCTCAGGGTTGCTCTGCCTCCCAAGGTACTTGGCCAAATTGACCAGCACTCAGCTCTCTCCTCCTCACAGCACTGAGCAGGAGATGGGACATGGGCTGGAGGATCTCTGACCACTGCTTCCCTCCCGCTGGCCAAGTGCCTTTGGAGGCAGAGTAGACACTTCTACTTAATGCTACATTAATCACTGGCAAGTCCATCAAACAGAACCAGAGAGAGAGAAGTCTGCTTGTTCAGAATTGCCAAGAGATGCATCGGATTAGACATTTTGCAGGTCAGGACATGAGTAAAGTATGTGTGACAGACTCGCTACCTGCTGATGGAACCTCTGGCATTTACTGTCCTCAGCAATGCTATAATCTCTCAGGGGACCATTAGAATCAAGTGAAAATCTTATTCTGAAAGAACTTTGAAGACAGAGATAGAGAGTTTGAGGTTTTTTTGACATTTAACCAAACCATTTTCCTGATTGTTTGACTTTTTTTCTGCTTTTCTTTTATCATTTACTATTCATGGTCAGAATGAGAAGTCACCAATATGCTGCAAGGCAAAGGCACACCAATATAAATGTTAATAATGTTAATCAAGTACGTGAGGGTGTTACCTTGTCCTCTCTCATTTATTTGTTTTCTCCTCTTAGTGTATCTCACCACACATATTGATTGTAAGGGCACTGAGAAAGGGACTATATTTTATGTCATGCATGTGACCAATATTGAGCTCAGTGAAACCATGGTCCCCAAACAGAGCCTCTAGGTACTACTGAAATATTGATAAATGTGATTCTGCTGAATGCTCCCTCCTAACCCCCCCCCCACAAAAAAAAATTTCACAAGCTATAACTGTCTTATCTACCAAACACCATTGTTCTGATATCAAAACTTCTTTCAGCTGAAATAAAAATAAGCAAGTAACTGGAAAGTAAATACTATTGATTATGTCAACTAAACAAATTGGAAAGCAAGTGGCAAGAAGTCCTAGAATGTCTGTTGAAAAGAACAACAAAAAAAAAGAAAATAGCACTAATTCTATTTAAAGGGTAAAAACTGAGCTGAGTAGGGGCATATGTGTGTGCGAGCATGCACACAAACACACTTACTTTGAGGAACCCACATTCCATCAGCATACTTAGTTCTGTAAAAAATGGTATGTTCCATGTTGTTTTCACTAGCATTTCATATCAAAGGAAAGCCAGAGAAGTTGTTCCACCATTTTAGATAAAAAAATAAAATTTTTCACTTTAAATGACTTTTTGGTTTGATTTTATTTTTTAAAAATATCATCATGTCAAATTAAAGTGTTGAGATTCAAAAAGAAAAAACAAAATATTTTAATCAACTTGACATGACTCCTTACTCAAAAATTTCCTTTGCTTGTGTTTAAATTCCAGTTCAATCAATTAAAACATTGATTTTATATGAACTATCAAAAGATTGTATTTTATCTAAACAACCCATATTTCCATTCACGATTTCTTAAACAATTTGCATCAGGTCATGACTCTTGCCAGATGTATGATGACCACAATCTTGGCTAATTCTAGAATAGATCAAAGAACTTGATGAAGTTAAAGAGTTGGTGCAATGCCTGTGGACCGTAACAGAGTTGTCTCCTCTGTGAACAGGGCAGAGACGCAAGATATACCATGGGCAGATCAGTGAATTATGCATGTTTGTTCAGGTGAGTAGTAGGCCTCTTTATATCCTATTGTCTTTATCCTGGTGTTCTCAAGTGCATTCCTAGTAAAAAAAAAACTTTTCTAAACTAATTTTCTCAGAAGTTCTATTGACAGGGAAAAAAATGTTATTTGTCATTCCCTATCTATATGCAATTGTACCTTAAATTGCAGTTGCTTTTCAAACAGAAAGCATGCAGAAGAGCACTTTTAATCATTACATCACTATAGCAGTTCAAGTTTATTTTTACACAACACCTCTTCAATTTTCATAATGTGTTTCTTTTCCTGGTATGTCATACTATTCTCCATTTGATGTCAAAATTTGTTTAGCAAGGTTTAGTTTCATTTTGTCTTCTGAAGCCATTCCTTATTTGTCAGTGCATAAAGTTATATACAGCCAAATTATGACTGGAATATTTCTCCAAACTTTAATATCTCAGTATTTCTTCATGGCTTGCTTACCCAGTGACACCGAATGACACAAAGTTACTATTTTCTAAATGTAAGTGCAAACAGTCATTGGTCAGAGCTGAAAACTCATATGGTTAAGCTTTACTAATCTTACAAGCTATTTGCTTTTTCCTAATTTAGCTCAGACTGCACCATGAATTTCAATAGACATAGGAAACTTACCATAAGAAATATGTCTACGAGAAGCATTTGTAAAGAGGGAGGATAAACATACCATCACCTTTAGGTCCACCAAAACTGAGCAGCGTAAGTGACTATAGATCTCAGGTCAGGTCCCAGAGGACTGGAAAAGGGCCAACGTGGTCCCTATTTTCAAGGAGGGGTGGAAGGAGGATCCGAATAATTATAAGCCAGTCAGTCTCACCTCCATCCTTGGAAAGGTCTTTGAAAAGATTATGAAGGATCATATTTGTGGGAGTCCAGCAGGAAAAATAATGCAGCAGGGAAACCAGCATAGATTCATAGCAGGTAGATCACGCCTGGTTTCGTTTTATGACAGGGTCACAAAATGTTTAGATGCAGGAGTAGAGGTGGATGTCTTTTTCTTGGATTTTAGCAAGGCCTTTGATGCGGTATCCCATCTCATTCTCATAAATAAATTAAGAGGCTGTGACACAGATGTTTACACAGTCCAGTGGGTAGCAAATTGGCTTAGCAGTCACATCCAGAGAGTAGTAGTAGATGGGTCTGTATCGATCTGGAAGGATGTGGGTAGTGGGGTCCCGCAGGGTTCGGTCCTTGGACCTGTACTCTTCAATATCTTCATCAGTGACTTGGATGTGGGTGTGAAGTGTACTCTGTCCAAAGTTGCAGATGATACTAAGTTGTGGGGTGAAGTGCACAGTCTGGAGGGTAGGGAATGATTGCAGGCGAACCTGGACAGGTTAGAAAAGTGGGCAGTATACAATAGCATGCAGTACAACAAGGACAAGTGCAGAGTGCTGCACCTAGGGTGCAAAAATATCCAGCACATCTACTGGCTGGGAAGTGACCCTCTCAGCAGCACAGAAGTGGAAAGGGATCTCAGAGTCATAGTGGACTCCAGGATGAACATGAGTCATTAGTGTGACAAAATCATCAGCAAAGCTAACTGTACTTTATCATGCATCAGCAGATGCATGACAAACCAAGGAGGTTATACTTCCCCTCTATGTGGCATTAGTCAGACTGCAATTAGAGTACTGAATCCAGTTTTGGGCACCATACTTCAAGAAGGATGTTGATAGACTCAAGAGGGTCCAGAGGAGGGCCACTTGTATAGTTAGGGGCTTACAGGACAAGCCCTATGAGGAGACACTGAGGGACCTGGACCTCTTCAGCCTCCGCAAGAGAAGGCTAAGAGGTGATCTTGTGGCCGCCTACAAATTCATTAGGGGGAAATAGCAAAGGATCAGTGATGCTCTATTCACCAAGGTGCCTCTTGGGGTAACAAGGAATAATGGTCACAAACTGACAGAGCGCAGATTTAGGCTAGATATCAGGAAAAACTTCTTCATGGTAAGCGTGGCCAAAATTTGGAATGGGCTTCCAAAGGAGGTTGTGCTCTCCCCTATCTTGGGGCTCTTTAAGAGAAGTCTGGATAGGCATCTGGCTGGGATCAACTGACCACAGCCCTCTTTCCTGCCTAGGCAGGTGGTTGGACTCGATGATCTGTTGAGGTCCCTTCCAGACAAACATCTATGAATCTATGAATCTCAGTTGCTGAAATAAAATAAGTTTAGTTACATAGTTCTATCTTTGGTTCCTTAGAGATTTAGTAGATTTTTCATAGATTCATAGATTGTGAGGGCTGGAAGGGACCTTACAAACCATCAGGTCCAGCCTCCCTGCACTAGGCAGGAAAGACAACTGGGGTCAGGTGACCTCAGCACGGTGACCATCCAGTCTCCTCTTGAAAATTTCTAGGGCAGGTGATTGTACCATCTCTGGGGGGAGCCTATTCCACAGTCTGGACACCCTAACTGTGAAGAAGTTTATCCTAGTGTTAAGCTTGAAATGGTCTTCCAGGAGTTTGTGGTGCATCGGTGGATGCATGCCACAGTTTGGTTTGCTTTGCTGGCTATGGCATAGCATTGGTGGCTCATTTTTATCTTGTGATCAATCAAGACCCCCAAGTCTCTTTTGGTCATGGTGCTAGCAAATGTAGCACTGCTGAGCCTATAAGTATGAGGCTGTTTTTTCCTCCCAAAGTTGAGCACCTTGCACTTTTCTCCATTGAATGCCATCAGGTTTTGACCTGCCCACCTTGCCAGCCTGTTCAGGTCATCTTGTATCCCCAACCTGTCCTCCAGTGTAACCGCCTTCCCCCATAGTTTAGTGTCGATCATGAACTTCACCAGGCCACATCTGATGCCCAAATCCAGATCATGAATGAAGATGTTGAAGAGTACCGGCCCAAGTACTGAACCCTGAGGGACACCACTGGTTGCCTTGCACCATGTTGATTTGCTCCCGTCAACTATTACTCTTTGGGTACAACACTGAAGCCAGTTCCCCAGCCATTGGGCCATGAGATGGTTGAGGCCACATTTCCCCAGATTAACACATGAGGACTTCATGGGAGACCAAGTCAAAGACTTTCTTGAAATCCAGATATATGATATCAACCTTGTTTCCCTTGACTAGGCAATGCATCACCTGGTCATAGAAGGAGACAAGGTTGGTCAGGAAAGACCTTCCAGCAATGAAGCCATGTTGGCTGGCACTCAGAAAGTTGCTCTAAATTAGCCTGCTGCTGATGGAACCTTTGATGATTTTCTCCAGGATCTTTCCAGGGATGGATGTCAGACTGATTGGCCTATAATTCCTTGAATCTTCCTTCCTTCCTTTCTTGAAGATTGGGAACACATTGGCTCTTTTTCCAGTCTTCTGGTACCTCTCCTGAGTGCCATGAGTTCTCAAATATTTTTGCCAGAAGGTCCGCCATGCTATGATGTCTGCCAGCTCCTTCATGACTCTTCAGTGTATTCCATTCAGGCCTGTGGATTTATGGATGTCGAGCCTCTTGGGTGTTCCTTCACTTGATCTATGTCAGTTGTGGGACCTTCTCCCTCAACCTGGATGCTTTGCATCCTATCTGACAGTGTGACCCCCATGGGCAGGTGGAAGACCAGCTTAAAGTAATCATTTAGGAGATTGGCCTTCTCCTGAGCATCAGATGTCAGCTGCCCCATTTGATTTAGCAGGGGTCCAGTGTTGCCTTTGTTCTTTCTCTGATTTCCCACATATCTGAAGAAGGACTTTGTATTCTCCTTGATTCCTGTGTTTAGCCTGAGTTTGGTTTCTGCCTTGGCTCTTCTGGTCTGCTCTCTACAGGTGTGGGATAATGCTGCATACTCCTCCTTGGTGATGATTCCTGTTTCCAATCTGGTGTAGTCTTCTTGTTTTAATTTTACGAGGTCCAAAAAGAGAATTGGATTTATATTAGATTGGATTTATATCTGATCTGATATAATTCAAGCCCTTTACCCTCATGTACATGTGCAGCATCATTTTGTCTTCATTCATATCTACATCCTGCTCTTTTACCCCCACCCCCTTCATGCCTCCCACTTCATACCTGCTTTCTAATCTTCTCACTTTATCTGTTTTTCTTCTCTTTTGGCCTTCCTGTAAACCACTCTTCATTCCTTGAGTTACCTCTTGCTCATCAACTATAAGCACTTTAATTTCTTACCTCAAATTCACCATTCCAAAGAATCCTGCTACTTTTTTTGCTTTGCTTTTCTAACAGTCCCCAGTATCTTTCTTATTAATGGTGCTAGCGAGATCTTCTCTTGCATTTGGTTGTTCATTTGTTTTCCCTGATTTGTGTCCTGGCCATGTGAAAACAAATGCATATGCTTAACTCCATGTACTCTGAATGGTCCCATTGATTTCAATAAGGTTTACACGCATGAGGAATACAGTATTGGGGCCACATTATTCTAGGTAGTGTGCAAACCTGAAGTATTAGGTAG